AACTTCAATTCCCAGAATTTCCTTAGCCAACAATACTGAATGGGGAATTTGGGGAACTGACGTCCACAGGTGCATGGGGAATTCCACATGCTGGATGGGGAATTTCTAGGAGTTGAAGTCCACAGGTCTTAAAGTTGCCAAGGTTGGAGACCACCTTTGCTGGCTGAGGAACTCTGGGAGTTGAAGTCCACAGGTCTTAAAGTTGCCAAGGTTGGACTTAATGTTTGCTCCTGATCAGTTATAACACTTTAACTACCAAGTCTTTATCAAACCAGAAAGTGTGGCGTCTGTTTCGTCTAAATTCTGAGATTCTTTCATTCTTTTCATTACCTCCTTAAATCTAACTACTTCCTCAACAGGGATTCAATGGAACGATCACGGGTTTATTGCCTTGTTTTAAACCATCCTAGCTTGGAATGATTTCCACTGACTGTATTTACTGCTACCCAGCATTGCAGTTCTATCTGGTTTCTTCCCAGTTCCTTCCGACTGTCAAATGTCATGGAGGAGTCTGTGAAGTTAGCTGATTAATCCATGCTGGTTTGCTTTGTTGGTCAATGAGTAACTATACCGGTTCAGAAAGAGATGCCCCTTTGAAGGTGTCTAGCATCTAAGGCAGAAAGCAAACACAGAGCGGTAATCCTCACCAACAGACATACGACTAAAGGAGGAAGAAGGCCCATTACAAAATGTGACATGCAGTATTATGTAGCAAAGAGGGAATCATTCACCAGCTTAAGTTAATATTAATAGAAAATGGCTGGACCTGATGACCACAGTCACTCGTGGTCTGCTCCCTTCAATGACTGCTTGAAAATGTCAGTTAATTCCAGTAGCTATTACAACAGGTTGATTCCTTCCAGGTAAGTAGCATTTACTGCTTTGAGTGTTTTTCTGAGCAAGGATTTGTCCTAAGAGTCTATGTGGCCAGTGACATCAATACAATACAATAGCAGAGTTGGAAGGGACCTTGGAGGTCTTCCAGTCCAACCCCCTGCCTAGGCAGGAAACCCTACACCATTTCAGACATCATCATTGGAGGCTTCCCTCCAAAGCCTTTAAGAAAAAAAGAGAGGAGGTGACCATGAAAGGCAGTCCTCGATTTACATCCAGAATTGGGTGCAGAATTTCCATTGCTAGGCAAGCCACATTTACAAGGCTTTTTTACACATTTTATGACCATTGCAGCATTACATGACCAAAATTCGAATGCTTGGCAACTGACTCACATTTCTTTTGAGACTTTCTTGATCAGCAAAGTCAAGAGGCCTTTAAGGGGTGCGCATAAGCGCACCAGCATGCCTACCATCCCTGTCCTAATATTCCTTTTTTTATTCGTATCCATTTTATGTATCCAAAATCATGTTTATACTTATATCTGTTATCTAATTCATGCTGGATGAATAAATACATAAAAATGAAAGGAGGTTTATTATACCATTATTATAAACCCTTATTATAAATTAATGGTTTATTGCCCAAACCAACGCCAAGGATGCATTCGCCTGGAATCCATCTATTCAGTATGGGACTTCTGGTATAAATGGCTAGAGGAAAGAGGGAAAAAAATAGGAAAGTAATAAAGGAAAGAAAAAAAGAGCAAGAAACTACAAAATAAATACAAAACCACAGGATTAACAAGAGGGTTGATTGTAGATTAAACATAGTACGGTAAAAGGAAATATAAGAAAATCGAATGTATATAAAAAGATGTAATGTATAGAAGTATTGTAATGTATTGAATTAGTGGAGGGAAAAAAAAAGATGTAAAACGTATATAGATATAGACATATTGGATATATACGTACAGAGAAGAGAAACGCAATGGATATGTAAAAGATGTAGAAGTGCTGCAGAGATGACATAAATGTGTAAATAAAATAAAATAAAATATAAAATAAACAAATAAATAAAATAAAATAATAAATAATAAAATAAAATAAAATATCCCTTCCCTCCCGCTGCTGCCAGACGGTCTGAAGCCCGTCGGAGGCTTCAGCGCCCCACGCGGCTATAGTCCTCCATTCCCGGTCAGACGACTCGCGATCAGCGTCCGGCGGAGACAAAGCGCTTCCCCGCCGCAAGGAGGGACGGGGGCGGGGCTCAAGGGACACGCCCACAGGGGCGGAGTCAGCGGGTGTCCAGCTGCGGAGGGGAAAAAAAAGAAGCCAGCGGGCCTGGCCAGGCTGTTTTGCCGCCCGGAGTCGGTGGCGGCAGGTCGGAGGCGGATTAGCCGGCCGGCCGTCCTTGGAGGGCGGCTGGCTGGCTGGAGGGAGAAAGGAAGGAGCAGACGCCGCCGGAGCATCATCATCATCATCATCATCATCCCCCGGGAGGGGAGGGGACCGACCAGGTGGGTGAATGGATGGCTAGATGGATGGATTCCGGGCTAAGGGTTGGCTTGGCCAACAAACCTTGCTTGCTTCTTTAAGCCCCGAATGATGGTTTCTGCCGCAGCCGGGTGCAACGCAGTTGCCTGCGCTTTGCAAAGAGACAACAGCCAAGGAGCCCTCGCGGCTCGCCTTCCTCGCTCCCAACCGGGCGGCTCGGCTCCGTCCCTGGCTCCAGAGAGGGGTGAGCCGGCCCGGCCTTGGGCAGGACGAGGGGCGAGCGGCCGGATGATTTGGGGGTCCCCTAAGCCAGCAGCCGGCGGTGGGCGGAACGCGGGGTGGTCGTCTTGGAGCAAGGAGGGGCCTCCGGGGGTCGCCGGTCCTGCTGGAAGGGGATTCCAGCTTCTGCCTTTTGGGGGCTCTTCAGACAGTTGAAGTCCCCCCCAGGTCTCTGTGAGTTGGGGATAGGGGTGCAAGAGAGCCCTGACTGATTTTGGGGGTCCCTGCAGTCCAGAGCATCGCCTTGCAAAGGGGGAGCAGGTAAGGACTGCCCTGATTTTTCTCCCTCTCTCGGGAGGCCAAAATTTTTTTGCCTTCTCATCCTGCTGGGATGCGGTGCTTATTTTTTTCTTTTTGCACCACAATGCCCATCCTCCCCTGCCCAGGCCCAGACTTCGCTCTCCCCCCCCCCCCCCTTGGAGAGGAAGGCTTGAGAGGTTTTTGAAGAGGTCCTCTCTTCTTGTTGAGGGAACGGTGTCCCGGCGTCCCTTGTTGTTTGTGATGGGGAAAAAACAAAGTTTGGGGATTTATTTTTTTCCCTCCCCAGACTGCCCTTTGAAATCATCTCTTGTGTTTTGATGGCTGTGACTTTTCATTTTGGAAAGGTGGTTTTAGGGCTGGGTTGTTTTTGTTTTTTTGTTTTTAATTGTGCATTGCTTTGGCAACCTTATAAGTCGGTAGAAATATTAGTAATAAATAAAAGGGCTTTGAGAGAGTAGAAAGACAGAGTTATAGAATGGTCAGCCTTCGACTTTTAGTAGCTTTGTTTCCAGCTGAGGACTTGCCTTATAAAGGTAAAGGTAAAGGTTCCCCTTGCACATAAATGCTAGTTGTTCCTGACTCTAGGGGGCGGTGCTCATCTCTGTTTCAAAGCCGAAGAGTCAGCGCTGTCCGAAGACGTCTCTGTAGTCATGTGGCCGGCATGACTAAATGCCGAAGGCGCACGGAACGCTGTTACTTTCCCACCAAAGGTGGTCCCTATTTTTCTTCTTGCATTTTTTACATGCTTTCAGATTGCTAGTTGGCAGAAGCTGGGACAAGTAATGGGAGCTCACTCTGTTACGCAGTGCTAGGGATTCAAAACACCGAACTGCCGACTTTTCTGATCGACAAGCTGAGGCTCTTAGCCACTGAGCCACTGTCTCCCTCGAACTTGCGTTATACCTTTGACTATTTCCAGTGGATATGGGAAAAGTCTTTTGTGTGGGATGTGAAGTGGAAATTGATTCTCTTAGAGCAGTTCAGTCAAGTGCAGGAGTGTCAAACTTGATTTCATTGAGGGCCACATCAGGGTTGTGTTTGACCTTGGGTGAGCGGGGTTGGCATGGCCAGGGTGGGTGTGGTCAGCTCGATGTCACTCATGTTGGGGGTGCCAGTTGTGGCCTG